CTGTGTCGGAGCTATCGGATAGAAAGTCAACGATGAAATCAAGGGTCAGCAGGGTACCACTTGGGGTATGCAGTATCGTGCGGGGACCTTTTGACTCTGGAGTGCCTCCCCGGATATTAATGGAGAATCCAGGAGGGGCAAGGTCCTGGTACTCCTGCGAAAGAGCGTCGAAGTCGAGAAAGCCAGCTCTCGCTAGGCGCCATGTGAATCCTCGCAGCAGTCGCCTTTCATCGACTAGAACAATCTGGCATTGTTGCTCCCTACGGCCGGGGGGAACAGGTATGCCAAGGGTAGCCTCAGTAGCTACAAGCACTGCTCTACAATCTTGTCCTGCGACTGCAAGATCAGTAACTCTGGGGGTTGACGGACAAACCGTAACACGAGGGGCTTGGTACTGGAAAGTTTGGGAAGCAAGGTCCCGAAGCTGTTGGGTGTTACGTATCTCTTCATGATTAACTGGCAGAACTCGATACCCACCATCCGACAGGACGCAAAAGGCAGAGTCATAGCGTCCCCCGTAGACAGGACAGGGCAACCTCCAACCTTGAGTGCTTTCAAGCATTCTAGCTAAGGAGGTGGTCTGGGGTGGCACCCTGCCAGCGGGGACCAGGACAATCAGAGCCGCCTGACTGAAGAGATACACTGCTCGGATATCCAAGTTTCTCCCCTCGTATAGAACGAGGAGCCCAGGCGCGTCATCAACCCCTAGCTGCTGAAGGAGAGAGGACCGAGACAGATGGCCTGAAAGCACGGTGGAGAATAAACGGCCATCAACCAACCTGCTATCTATCAGCACAATGGCAGCATCTGCCGCCCAGTCAGGGAGAGCAATGACAGATGCGAAGGTGCAATCTGGTTGTGGGTCTACTGGCATCAATCCCCCAAAGCAATCTGAGAGATCTGTCCGTCGCGACTCTGCTAATTCCTGGAGGGCCTCCTCAAGAGCACACGGGGCGCGCAAGGGAATCTGATGTACCTCATGCGAAAAACCCGGCATGAAAATAAGAAATCCCGCTGAAATAAAGTCAGTGGGCGGTGCTGGCTCGGTAAGTTCAAGGGCTTCATGGGCAGTTGGGCTGTTGGGTGCCTGCCTATGAAAATGGGTGGGCCCTGGGGCAAGAGGCCTTGCTGTATTGCGGTGCCCTTCAACATCCCTGACCCAGGATGGGATCGACTGCTGGGAGGCATGACAGGCAGCAGAGTCGCTGCTAGGAGGGACTAGATCAGAACCCTCCTTTGCGGCATAGAACACAACTGTGCACGCCCTACTGATGTAGACCTGTCCTGCCTCAAAAGGTACTCCAGAAGCCCGAACCTCATATCCCTGCGGCAGGCGGATGTTGAGGAAGTGTGCAAGGCAATGCAAATCCTCCCACCCTTCTTGTCGACAAATGAAGGCGGGGTCACGACCAACAAGTCTGGGATCCAAGAACACAAAGACAGTGCGACTGGACCCCATTGCACCGAAAGCGCTTCGAGGTTCGACAGCGACGACACCTTTGAGCAGGAGCCCATGATGCACAAAACCATTGAGGGGACTTCCATTGAGGGGGAACTCGAAAGCGAGCTCTTCGACTCTACTATGGAAAGCTGCAGCGAGCACAGCATAGAATCCAGCGTCTGGGTCTCCAGCATATGTGGGCGTCCTTGTGACATGACTGCGAAGTGCATACCACCGACCTGAGTGATGTTCATAATATTGATCGGGTGGGAATGCATCTTCACACCTGTAGTCATGTAGCCGGCATGCAAGGGAGCTCTCAATGGCTGGGATGTGCCAGGCTGGCACAAAGCGAAAGAGGTCCCCAAGATCTGCTGTCACTGATGTTCCAGATCGCATGGGCTCCCTTGCGCCTGGCGCGAAAACATCCCATGGTTCGCCTATGTGGTTGGCAGCCTCAGCTTCAAGCTCATAGAACGTAACTTGTTTCCAGCTCAGAATGGCATATATCGGACCACCCCAAAACGAAAAGTCCAACACATAAACAGTCTTATCCGAAGTAGTAACCCAGCCTGGGGCTGCTACAAAAGTGGGGTGTCCTGCGCTTGGTTGCGGTGAGGCCGCATGCAAAACCCCATGGGAGCAGGCGAAGAGGGTCGTAGTGATAGATGCCTTAACCTTACTAAGCAAAACCTCCGCATCCAAAGGCAAGGGGAGCACCACCCCCAAAGTGAGCGTAGGCCATCCTGGAGATAGCACCGAGCAGCCTATCTTAACTGCCTCGCCGCTGGCTAAAAGCTCGCTATCTTGGGCATGAGCAGGGTCGGCTCCAGGATCCTCAGTGGCTTGAGCAGCGGCTTGGGCGGTGGTGTTATCAGGGGGGCTCTCGGGGAGGTGCTCTGGAAGCTTCTGCAAAAGTCGGTCAAGCTCATGCATAGCCTGAGGCAATCCATCTGGGGCGGCCCAAACGCAGCAGGGCAACTGATAGGCGAACAGGATAGTCAGGGCACTGCGCAAAGATCCTCTTCCTGGCTGCAACATATAAGTGCCATATTGGCAAGCCTTTTGTGAGCGCTTGCCTGCTTTGTTCTTATGCCGCTTAGCCCCAGGTGGCATGTCGGTCGCCGGTCGGTTGGCCTGGCCGATAGTAGCCAAACATCTTACGATGGCAACAGAATGGAAGAGGCGTCGCCTCACGCGAAACCCAGCACTAAAAACCTTTGGCTGCCAACAAAACAAAAGCTGGAGCAGAGCCAGCAGCTGCAAAAGAAGCAAACTGCAGTAGAAAGGAACGATGTGCAGTCCGAGCCAGCCAAGGACGACCCAAACAGGACTCACATCCGTTGGCGAGGAGCGTAGAAGGGAATCACATGCTTGCGGTGGGCACCCCAGAGCGACCGATGTGCCTCTTTCGCACTCGCAAAAGCATGTGCCCGAAACTCTAAAAGGAGAGGAGCACTGAGGGAGGCTCCATACACAATCGCAGAGACGGCGAAAGCCCAAGCCTGCACAGTTATTGTAGGGCAGTGTCACCGGCCCGGCTAGGCAGTATGTGATGAACGCAAAAGGATTGGCGGCCATCATTGCTAGCCGCGGGGGAGGAAAGGAGCGCGTGCTAAGACCAAGCACGGCCCTTTCTCGCGAGGAGACGAAGAGGGTACATCGGCACGCCACCAAAACCCAAGGAGGCGATACCGACCTCATCCTCTTTTGCAAGGTAGATGCAATAAAGGACAGTCTCCGGGAGTGGAGGATGAATATCGGCACTGAGTCGATGATTCGATTCCAGTAGGCAGAGGAAAAGGAGAGGACACCCACAGGTGTAGGAAAAAGACAAAGACACCTGCCAAACCAAAGCAGGATCTCGTCCCCTCCCGGAAGGACAGAGCCACGCCGTCTGTTCCCTATAGCCCAAAGAGAACCAGGCGGACGGGCTTGAAGAGGAGATATTGGAAGCCCCTGCAGCAAAATGAACTCAAGCTGGGAAAGGGCTATGGTACACAGACCTGTACATTGCCAAGGGCTCACAGAGGTATGTGGAGTACAGACATCCTCTTGTCCAGCTATGTCAAACCTGTCTTCCGCAGCGGGAGGTAGGATTGGTAGACCAAACTGAAGAGCTTGATCTAACCAATGCACTTTACCCGATACGGGACACGGCTGACATGCATGACACCCGAGGGTCTGCCTCCACATCTTATATGTCACCCCATTTTGCCGAAGCCGGGAGAAGGAACGTCGACGTCGATCTCCATGACGGGCGCCTTGGCCTCTGTGGGCGGCTCTCCTGAGCTGCCTCTCAGCTCCTCGTCCACTCGGGCCTCTTGGTCCACGCCTTTGAGCCCGAAAGGATGTAGCGCTCTGCCTGTTTCTGTCGCCCTGTGGCGCTCCAACCTTTGCGCCAAGCTCAAAGGAATGTCTCTCTCGGTATGCACTGGAGAGGAGGGCGGGTATGGGGCCGTTCTGGTCTTTGACACCGTCGGAGAGATGGCCGAATAGCCAGTCGCTGCTGGTCCAGGGAGAGGCGGTTCTTCCTTGACGATCTTGTGCGCCTGTTCCATGGTAGGAGCTCGCACCGCTGGTGGTCTGCTCGAGGCTGAATCTTTGCGTTTTCGGGCCGCCAAATGCTTCAGAAGTGCCTCCACCTCTGGGCTGAGCAACCCCTCCTCCTGTGGGGTCTCTAGTCCTATCAGGGTCTCCCAGGTATCCTCTGGAGCCACCGGCTGCTGCATCTTCTCGTCCTCCGCGGCTCGCTGCAAAAAGCAATCTTCCGCTGCCTTGTGCACCGCTGCCTGGTCCATCGAAGCCAGGTGCTCCATCTCGTCTATCTCCGACTGTAAGCGTGCGACGCTCTCTAGGTGCCGCTTCTGCTCCTTGGCGTACGCTTCTCTGGCCTGGATCTGGTAGTCGCTCCATTGTTGATCGCGGGCCTTGAGGTCGTTCTTCATCTTTTGTAGTCGCCCAGCAGACTTGCGTGCCTGGTTGACAGCTTGCTGGACCTTCTGCACAAGAGAGGTATTGGGATTCGTCTCTCTCGTTTCTTTGAGCACAGTGATCACATTCTCCGGCCGCTCCCGATCGTAGGCCGGGAAAGAGAGTCCCTTTGACTCGCCTTTGCGCTGCCCTTTCTGCTGCGCCCACTGTTGTGAACGCCTGGCACCTGGCCAGATCTGAGAAGACCAAGATGGCGAAGAGTGCCACTCGGCTTCTTGCCATTGTCTCTGGTGCCAGTTCTGCTTCCCCATCAAAGACAGCCGTTGCCTAGGATGTGTGCCGTGGTGCCCTATGAGGGCTGCAGCTTGTCCCTGAGTGAGGGATTTTCCTGAGCGATATCGCGCGCGTCCCCTAGCACGAAGACGACGCTGATTATGATGCCAGGAAGGGGAGCGGATTAAGCCAATGGCGTCACAGTATGGGATCGCACTCGTTGGTGCTTGGGGCTACAGATTTTCTGGCCGCTATGCCAGCAATTCGAGCCCTTTTAGAGAACTACTCATGCTTCAACGCTTCAACTTTCCGGGCTTCTGCAACCCTAAACCCTAAACCCATCCACAGCTGCCTGGGGTTCTGCGCTGCGACGGGGCAGTACTGCCCCGACATGAAGGCCTCGCCCGGCACCTGCACAAGCCTGGGCGAAGCTCTTCGAACTTCAAGGTTTTGGGAACAGGCTTGCGGTTTGGGGCTTTGGGCTTTGGGTTCAGGGCTTCGGGTTTAGGGCTTAAGGTATAGGGGTTTTAGGGCTCAGGGCTGAGGGTTCGGGCTGCAGAGTTTAGGGCCTTGTTTTGCTGCATACACTGGGGGTGGAAGGTTCTGGAGATCCAGCAAACAAGTCTTCGTCTGACATGGCAGAAGGCCGAAGCCCATGATGTTGAACAGAGTCGATGGCTTGGGGGTTAGGGTTTTGGGTCTAGGGTTTAGGGTTTACGGGTTTAGGGTTTACAGCAACCGGGCGGCAAGCATTGGTTCAGAGGGTCGCAATCGGTGACTTTCTGGTGGACCCAGGAGAAATTCTTCCCGGACTGGATCTCACTTGCATAGACAACCTTGTGGCAGTTCCCCTGCCCATCCAGACCAATGGCCTGGGTAGCAACTGAAGGACGACATGATGTATGCCTCAAGAATATCGGAGCCTTAACTAATGGGGGCGACAAGGGTACATCATTTCTAGTTCTTCCGATTCCTATAGCACCTCTACAGTATGGGTAGTTGTCAAAATTATGGTCCCTTTTGGGGTACCCTAAATAAGAGGTGCCGTATTATAATAAGGACCCAAAAAGGGACCCTAATTTTGACAACCACCTCTACATGGGCAAACCCTAAACCCTAAACCCCAAACCCTAAACCCTAACTCAAGTAAGAGAGCTGTCCCAAGTTGCCACCTGGTGGCAGCACAAGAGGCATCGTTCCGACATCTGGAGCGGCAGGTCGAGATGGTCTTCCTGGGCTCTACGTTGAACCCTAAACCCTAAAGTCTAACGTCTAAAGTCTAAACCCTGAACCCTAAACCCTAAACCCAAAACCCTAAACCCTAAAGTCTAAACCCTAAATCCTTACAAAGGTTTGTGGAGGAGGTGTCTCAACTCTACCAGACCATGAAAATAGACTCAAAAAGCTAAGCCCTCAACCCTAAACACCCTCAAACCTGAAAGCCTGTAGATCCCAAAAAAGGAACACAACAAAACAAGGGAACCCTAAACAAACCGCCACCTCGGCTCGAGGCATTCGAGGACGAGTTGGCCAAGAGCCCCTTGGCCAGGAAATGCTCCGGGTCGCTGGCTGGTGTCCAACAGGTGTTGTCCGTCACAGTGACCTTTTCTAGGGTTCAGGGTTTACGGGTTTACGGGTTTACGGGTTTAGGGTCTAGGCCCTTGTTCAGGAATTCAATATTTAAACTAACGTCCGACAAAATCACCTCATTTACCATAGATACCTATTATGGTAACTGAAAAAATCCTGAACATCATTTACCATAGATCCCTATAATGGTATCTTAAACAAATTCCTGAACCAGAACCGAGTTCAGGGCCGTTTAGGGCTTAGGGCCTATAGGTTTAGGAGTTCGGAGTTCGCTCTTACAGGGTCTAGGGTCAGGCACTTCGGGCTTGGGGATCAGGGCCAGGGGCATAAAGTTTAGGGCGTAGGGTTTAGGGTTTAGAGTTTGGAGTTTAGAGTTTAGGGTTTAGGGTTCAGGGTTTAGGGTTTAGTGTAGTAGAAGGGCCAGTTGTTGACGCAAGTTTTTTTGTTCAGGGCCTACATAGCCCTCACCTTGAATAAACTAAACTCCATCTACAAGCACCTACAGTGAAAGCCCTCATAAGCCCCCTAAAGACCCGAACACCTAAAAACCCCTTCTCCATAAACCCGAAACCCGAAACCCTAAACCCTAAAGACCCTAAACCCCAAACCCGTTAAACCCTTCTCCCTAAACCCGAAAAAATCTTTGTGAGACAACCCCGCCTTGAACTGAGCCATGAGCAGCGCTTTGCCTGGGTTCGGATTCAAGGAACTTGTGGATAGAACCCCCAAACAGAAGCTTAAGATAGGGTACCTCAAACTAACTTCCTTCTCCCCTGCACCCTAAACCCTAACTTCCTTCTCCCTGCACCCTAGACCAGAACGTCCTTCTCCCTACACCCCCTTAAACCCTAAACTAACTTCCTTCTCCCCAGACCCTAAGCCCCAAACCCTAAACCCCCAAACCCTACACCCTAAACCCCCAACCCCTAAACCTTAAGCCCCTAAACCCCCAAACCCTAAACCCAAAGCCCCTAAACCCCCAAACCCCTAGACCCCCAAACAAGAGCCCCAGCTGCTGAAGGGCAGCACGCCGTAGACTTGGCAGCTGAGCTTCAGCTGGCAGCGCCTCGCCTCGTTCCTGCAACCCTGGAGTAGTCCCTCTTGCGGCCTCGGTGGGAGGAACAAGTTTAGGGGTTGAGCCGTAGGTTCAGGGCTTACATGGCCGGTTGCGGCCTCAGTGGGAGGAAGAAGGGGTACCCGTAGGTTTAGGGAACACCCCTACAACAAGCTGAAGGATCCCGTAGTTTCTCCCAAAGCCCTAAACCCTAAAGCCTAAGCCCTAAATCCTCAACCGGTAACCCCTAAACCCGCAAACCCCAAACCCCTGAACCCCTGAACCCCAAACCCCAAGCCCCCGTAGAGAAGCTCTAAGCTCGCGGCTCCCCAGCAAACTTCCCACCCACAGCCAGGTGGAAGACCTCCTGGAGTTCGGGCCTACGCTTCGGGGTGTAGGGATCAACAGGGTTTAGGGTCTAGGGCGCAACATGGTTTAGGGTTTAGGGTCTCCATGGTTTAGAGTTTAGGGTTTAGGGGTTCAAAGGGTTNNAGGGTTTAGGGCTTAAGTTTAGGGTCCGGGGCATAGGGCCTAGGGGCCAAAAGGGTGTAGGGGCTTAGGTGTAACTGGGGTCTAGGAAGGTTCTGAATATCTAGAGAAGGTCTACTTTTAACACCCCTACAACATGCTGAAGGATCCCGAATCTTCTCATTAACCCTAAACCCCTAAACCCC